GAGCACAAGTGCTCGTTCAAAATACGAACGTGCATTTCAATAATAATATCTAGTATAAAAAAAGTTAAACGATATATAATCTATAATCTATGTACACATGAATATAATAAATTAGAAAAATTAGAAAAAAAAATTAAAAATATAAAAATTTTATGCTGAATTGATCATAGCTTAGACTTAAAAATATTAACATTATCGGCCAGCTTGACATCTTCTGGAAGTTTATTCCATAGTTGAGGTTGAGCGCACTTTATAAAATTAAGATTAAATTTGGGAAAGCAAAGATTAACACCATTTCCTCTTAAATTGTAAGATGTCTCTCTTATGCTAAAAAAGTCTCTAATGTATTTCGGCCGTATTTCCCTAATGCATTTAAATACTAGGATCAGAGATTGCTGCTTTTTCCGACACTCTAAAGTGTCCAACTTACATATGTTTAAGAGTTCTTGGTAAGGCAATGGTTTCCCGTGCCCTGTCAATGTCCTTAATATATAATGATTGGCGTCTTCAATTTTATTGGCCTAGACTTTCCCCACCCCTAACAGGAGGGGACTACAGTATTCTAGATGTGGTAAAATGAAAGACTTGTATAATGCTAGCATAACGCCCATAGGTACAAAAGGCCTAATTCTCCTAAGTGCGGCGGTCTTCGCATACGCCTTTTTTAGCTGACTATAGAAATATGCTCTATAAAGTTTAACATGCTATCAAGTTCCACGCCCAAGATTCTAATAGAGGGGAAGTTTAGTGACCCCAGAACCATTCAAAGTTAAGTCAAAATCGTACTCTTATAGTACGTGGGAAAAAAGAGTGATAGTAAGTTCTTGAATATGGTACTTTGTATGCGTTTGAATTCAGATGCCTGGGTACTAGCCCGTCACATTGGAATTAGCTCCGGCATTCCGTCTGCTGCCACCTGGCCTTAATGCAGTGAATTCAACATGCAGAGTCTCACATTACTTTTCCCTCTGCTTTGAAGAGATTTCCATCCCAGCTCATCAAGTATTCCTCCTACACTAGCTGTCATAATTCCTGACTACAAAGCGGGCAGCTCGCCGCTGTACCATTTCAATTTTCCTGATGTTTATATCTGTGTGACTGAGGATCCCAGACTGTAAGCTACCGTAGCTGAATATTCCAATCAGTGACGGTGGTCGAACTAGGCCAAAGCTAAGGTCTTTGATCTTAGGAGAATTCACCTGCAAATTTCGTCTAAGGAAAGTAAGAGTGCTATTTGCTTTCCCTGTAATGTTTTCGATATGACAGTTCCAACTGAGGTCTGATGAAAGAGTAACGCCTTGATACTTTGAGGTGTCGGCTAATTGACCATGGAGGATATAGTCATGCGGAATAGGCTGAAACTGGCAAAAGAAGGATGGGATAATTTATTGGCGAAAGGCGCCTCGACATTGTTCAACTTTCTTATTAAAATAAACTTTTTTTTTTCACTTTGTATGAAAGCGTTTCAAAGGAAATAAATTTTGCTTGTTAGACGCCATAATAAAATATAAATTATTAAAGAAAAATTATTGCTTTTATTTCATCTTTTATTTCATTGTTGCAATGTTCTCCTATTTGTCACACAAAAGTAAAGTGCAGCAGAAAATATAACTTAAGTAGAAAAAAGAAGAGTGGCAAGGACAACAAAGCGAAACTATAGAAAGTTTATGAGAGATCCTCCTCGAACTACCGACTTAAGTTGTATAACATTAAGTAGTAAGGATGGCGTTTTATTTTTTTTCGAGACAATAGGGTATTTTATTTCATACAGTTATATATATATAAATTTAAAGGTTTGAATATTGAATATTATCTATCATGTCGTTTCTGTCTATCTATAATGGTTCTACTCTGTAATTTTTTAATTTTTCTTTATTGCCAACTGATGATAATGCACTGATGAAATTTTAGCAGAGTTTTGGCCCAAACGGCCATAATCGCCGGTGATTAAGCTGCATATTGGTTGGAGATGACGATTGCGCGATTTGTGACTCAGTTGCTATTAAAATATTTATGCGATAACCTGAGAAGTGTCATATCAACATGTGTTTTTGTGTCTATGGTCGAAAGCGGTACCTTAATTATGCTTTAATCATTACTTTGGGGTAACAATCCATCTCATCCTTTAAATGGCATGGAGTTTCTGACTTAACCGATAAAGAATTCGACCGTGTACCATTAGAAACAGCACACATTCCATTAAGTATTCCGGTCTTGAGATGCATTGCTTTCGCTTAGAAAGTATTTTTGGTGAAAAATGTTCGCTTTTATCAAAATAATGTTAGGACCATAATGGACAGCACACGCGCGTCCTCTTCAAACTGCTTTTGTTTCACTCTGGTATAGAACGCTCTTGAGACTGAGAATGCTCGCTCGTCTTTGCAGACTTGCTTGCTGAGACATTCTCCAAACTTTTTGGTGACGTAATGTATAGAGAACAGGCCCTCGACTGGCACACCACTGAAGACACATGTTCTCATAGAGGTCCCTTTTTTCTATTTCTGCTTCAGAAAGCACATATTCAATCTACAATCATCACGATACTGCAGGAACGAGGTGAAAAAATATTAAATAGAAAGAGACTCCGATGATTCCAAGCATTCCAAAGACAACTGCTGTTAGGCTCCAGTACTTGGCATGTTTGGACCGCCACACGGCACCCTCTCTGTTCCCATCATCGTATACTTTATCCACCTACAAGATATCATAAAAAGTGGTTCAGGTCCCTTAAAGAGAAGAGGAGTTAAAATGTAAAAATACCAATAACAACCCAGTTGAGTGGGAATAAGTACTGGTCGATTGCGTTCAGTAAAACTTTCTTTGAGGCAAATTTTATTTTCCCCAAGTTACTGTACATTGCCTAGTTTCAAATCGAGAGGGGCTGGGTACGTGTCCGTTTTTTTTTTATGGAATAAACAACACGAGATCGATCGACTCATATAGTCAGAAAGAGCACATTGAAATTAACAACATTCTTAAGTTTGGTGTTTATCGGGCCTATATTGAACGAGATACAGCCATTCAAAAACTCCAAAACTTTTTATAAGAAATATTCGGACGTCCGGACGACGTGTCCGGCAAGCCATACATCTCTTAGAAAATTTTGAAGTTTATGAATAGTTGTATTTTAATTTGTTCAATATTGGCCCGATCAACACCAAACTTCAGATTTTTCAGAACCTCAATGTGCTCTTTCTGTCTATGTGGGTCTCGTTTATCCCATAATAAACTGACTCGTACCCATGAGCGCCTCTTGATTTGAAACTAGGCCGTGAATACACATGCAAATTGAATCATGCAATAAATAATTATTGGATGAGATTCTTGTGCTATCCTGTATAATCAAGGTAAGGTTAAATGTTATTGATCGAGGCTGATAACTCTTGCTGCGCGAGACCCTGATTATTTCGGATAGCACATAAACAGAATCTAAATGCTTTATAAATTGTTTTGAAGACACTCACGACAAACGTCATCGCCGCACGGAATACAGTTTTGCTTTACTCTTGAAAATCATGCATTACGCGCGCAACCTACGAATTAGTCAGTTTCGTGCTAGCGGATAAATAGCTAATTTGTACGTTGCCTCTTTTGCTTGCTCCTTTTTACCATTTTTCATTAAACGTTGAAAGGCCTTACTTACAAAAATTTTATTCTTGGTTCCTAGATCTATAATGTTCAAAGCAACCTTACATTGATTTTCAGTGAAAACTAATAACCTGACTGTGACAATGATTCCGATCTACTCGCATGGGAAATCTGCAAAACAAGGCTGCCAAAATAATGCTTGATCGCCATGAGGCAATCCTCCGCTCCCGATTCTCTTGATTCTCTTTGGCTAGATGCCACTGCGTCTCAGGCGATGCTGTTGAACGGTTTTCAGTGATGATTATAATTTTCATTCTGTTATAGCAACTACTACAATTACAACCCGCGTTCTAGAGACCGAACTCACCTAACACGTGTAAGAGCACTAACTGAGGCACACAACCTTTCATTTAGGCAAAGCGTCGTAGATTGGAACTGCGACAGGATACATGTGGCAGTTCTCTATTTCCTTATCTTAAATCTAAAGTCAAAGATGAATCATTTGAATAGTGGTTTCTTGTGTTTTTTTATTATTATTTTTAATCTAGTCTTGACTCTTTTATCATGTGCAGTTTTTTATTAATTGCGTTGAACGGAATCTGATTAGCATATATATATATATATATGTACCTGGAGTGCACAGATGAAACCCACGATTCCTAGCGGAAAACAGCAACATATCATTGCAGTAATGGCCAAGCAAAGATGATTGTCTGGCTGGGGGATATAAGGTCGACGCTCGTGATATGCTGAGTAGCGAGACTTTCTTCTTTCTTCGTCCTTACAAAATAAGCAAAAGATAATCAATTATTTCCAATTAAAATAAAATATGTTGCTTCAGTTTTCAAGAAGCCATGTTGCAGGTTTGAGAAGAGCATGCGTTTTAGGACAACTTTGTTGCAAGATATTATGCAAAGAGCTATAACTTCAGAAAATTATACAGGAGTCTGTCTGGAGACCAACTTTCGGGAAAATTTTGGAAAGGTTTTAGTTGAGAAAAACAGCTTTTTTCCGATTGGTCATCGTTATTTAAATGCAGCATTAACCAATGGTATAGTAGGTACCCTAAAAAACAGATCTTAATCATCACAGTGCCAAAAGCTGTAGCCTTCGAGCAAGCTCTCCATTCTGGGGAGTCGCGAGAAGTCACGAGAGGTCGCTCGCTCGCGCGTTCTGAAGCAGCTCGCTTTGCTCGCCGACTGCGAAAGCTGGTGCTAATGCTCTCTGAAGCTCTGTACTGGCGAATTTAGTCACTAACCTGAACTGACGGTATTACCGTCATGCGAACTTGGTATTCGTCGTCCGTTGGCCAGTTATCTATATCAAGCTCTGCTGTTGATCCTGGCAAAGGGGTAACCTGGCCTTCCTCCTCGCTAACATCATCTCCCTCTTCTACTGAAGGAGTTAGTGAGGGTGGTTTTTTGATCATTTGTGGTGCGGTGAGATTGCTATGTTTCACCTCTCCATTGCGCAAAACTGAACAAAAAATACATTTGAGGTAAAACAATACATCCAGCTTGGATAAAACGTGTGCTAATGGTAATTGTAATTTCTGTTGGTAAAGTTATTACATATACTGTACATCTACATTTTCTTTGTTTTCAAGTTTAGGCACAATTTCAACATCAGCCCGCAGGTAGCTACGGTAATCTTGAGGGGTCATGTTTTCAGAAAATGAATGCGACAGCGTACAAAGTATTAAATATACAAGCCCCCATAGAAAAGCTAGGATACAACGTTAGATATGTATTCATGGTTATGCGTTTGCCAAATAGCCATAATCGTCGAAGTGAATCTTTTTAAATAGATATCCACAAAGCCGGAGTGCCGGAGGTGCGAAGTAAATTTGATTCGAATTGAATTGTTCTCTCACCTTCGTTCGGTTCCATTCTCTTCGTTCCGTGATCATGAGCTTGAAGCAATTCTCAGCCAGTTCAGAAGCAGAGTGAAAGACTAATGTAAAAACATCAACCCACAAAAATAACGTTAGTTATCAAAAGAAACATATATAACACACACGGTATAATAAAATGTAAAAAATAAGAATCAGCTTTGGGGACTGGCCGTTAATTATAAAAAAATGCATGATTAACTACTTAAAAAAAGAGAGACTTTCTCATTTATTAATGGTAGTGCATGAAGTCCATGACACATTTCGACAGTTTATGAAATACTCCTAACAATCATGTTAAAAGTTATTAATCGATTAATCAATATGCAAACGTGCGCTGCAGATAAAGAGGTAAAGTCCTTTGTTCATCTTTCACCTAAAGGCTCTTCGACATAACACACAAAAAAATCTCGATCAATGAAATTCTATTTCGTAGCTTCGACTGAACTGTATTGTTAAGCACAACCCGAAAGTCTCAATTCTTGTATTTTTACTTCGTGTCGCCGGGACTACCATAACCAGTTGATCTGGCATCTCCTTTCATGAATTGAATATAGGGTTATTCGCCGTCATTTTAATAATATTGATGGGTTTTTAATAGCACAATCAAAAGCTTAATCAGTTTGGTGAGTATTATATATTTTATGCCATTGCACAAAATGTAATAAAACTGCCAGATGAAAAAAACTAATGGATAGAAAACCAGGTGGTGTCCAGTTGAAAAACAAGGGGCGGATCTAAGCGGAGGGTGCAGGGGGTGCGCACCCCCCCCCCCCCCCCCGCCGCCCCGGCCGGTTTTCTTTAAAAGGTGTGTGGGAGGGAGAAGAAAGGAGGGGGGCCCCCCCCCCAAAAAAAACTACGCTCCCCCCCCCAAAAACAACCACAAACAACCACTAAAATTTGTAAAAANTTTTGCTAGAACTCTGGGTTCCGTATTAGCCTGCGTAACAGGTTCCGGATGTTTTCGGCTAAGGATGAAATCTCGAGGCCACGAGTTCCCCTCGCGCTTCCGGGAGGTTCCAAGTACGTCTAGTTAAAGCCCGTTACTCTGGCAACAGCAATGAACTTTTAAAAACAACAACGTTGATTGTTTGACGTTTTGTCCCTCAGAGCAGAATGCGAGTATTGAGTTTTATACGCTCAGTTAACTATCAGGTCGATATCACTAATTATTTTTTAAGCCCGAAATGTAAACATCGCTGTTGAAAGAAAAATGAATTCCATTGAAGTTAACTTGAAAATAAATACTGCCCACCACGCTATTCTGAATTCGCGCGATGGAAAATGACATTCGGATTTAAAAGGAAAAAAAACAGCAAGGAACTCCCACTCAAGCGGAAAAAAAATTTAAATTCTGAGCTGCTTTGAACTTGTTTGAATTATTAGTCAGTTTGGCGTCTGTGCCATTTGTCTTTCGCTTTTTGTTTGCAAATATTTTTCATCTTTCTTTTCTGAAATATTGTCAAGATCTGCGAGCTAAATGGCACATTGATGACTTATGACGAATCGCTGCACGTTTTCTAGAAAACCTGACCACTAAGAAGCTGTAGTCTACTTTGAATGACTGATCTAGTAACTGCCCAATCTGCTGTCTGTGTTATATTTATTTTCCTTGTACACATATGGCAATCGCGACCTTGTAACTACCCCGTATGGAAACTAGACGAAAACTGAACTGCTATGATACTCGACGCCCGAGTCCTAATAACTTGTTCCGTAGTGTGGCAATATTCCTTTAAATCTAAGAGACAGGTTTTGAAGGCCGTTAGACTTTTTAGGTCTAATTTTAGACCCAACTGACTATACCTTTGGCGTGACTACTCAAAAAACCTGTCTGCATGACACCTTTCATTTCTCCGCAGTACTTCTGACACAAAACTTGATGATGTTCTTGAAATGATATATATGGCACTCTCAGCGTTTAGCGCACAACATGTCTGAGATCATTTGAGGAATAAGAACTAAAATGTTCGCGTGACTGAGAGCGAGAAATGTAACGCTGCTGTTAAAACCTACAAACAAGAATAGAAATGTTGAACTAAGTCGACAAGTACCTTCTGTTCATTTGTGGGTCTCTTCTGCTGACGAATGGTAATGAAAAACTTAGCATTTTCCTGTCTTCAACAAATTTTCCTCTGCCGGACAATAAAAAACTCTCCTTGAAAGAGTTTTATTAGTCAACCGTATGCTGACTGGCGTCGTTCAAGTAATCAAATGCTAATTATTACATGCAAGAGTTGAGTGTAATTACCAGCCTGTGACGTAGAACGAGCAATATTAGCCCCACTTTACACCCGGTAGTATTAAAGTCATTGTGAAATACGTGCTTTCTTTTCTTAAACGACAGAGTGTATGTCATACTAATGGCTATTTGAAATTCCGGTTGCAAAGTTTACACCAAAGATTGTCAAGTGTGAGTTAAGATCAACAGAGAAAAAAAGTCCACCAGTCAACAGCGACAAACAAACAATGATGAATTTTTAAAATCATTTTACTGAGAAAAGTTATTAACCGCTTTTTTAGCCGTGTACGTGCCGTTCTGACGCGCAACAGCAGCTGCTTTGTAAAAGAAGCTAAATATTTTAAACTTTTAACTGATCACCAGGCCCCAGTTGTTCAAAAGATAGATAACCGGCTATCCACTGGATAAAACTGTATCCTTTGGTTAGTAATTGGTTTCCCTAATACTTATCCACTGAACAGGGAATTATCCGGTGGATAGCAGCGCTTAATCCAACGTTTGAACAACTTGGGCCAGGCTTCTAATCTCCTGGCTGCCAAGGCCCCAGTTGTTCAAAAAGGTGAAGATTATAACGCTATCCACCTGATAAATCACTATCCTCAGGGTTATTTTTCAGATTTCTATAACCCTGCTTAATGTGTTTTTCTTTTCGTTTCTGGCCTGTCGAGCAAAATTAGTGCAAATTTAAATCCGGAATCCGGAATCCTTGGCTTTGGAATCCGGAATACAGCTCAAGGAATCCGGAATCCCATTAACGATTGAAATCCGGAATCCACTGCGGGGAATTCAGAATCCAAGACTGTCTTAGATTCCCTTACACTGAGGAGACTGAATAGCCAACAAAAAGCTTCCCAATCACGCAATCACGCGCTTTGAAAAATATCTCCATGGAACATAAGTAAGAGGATACAACATTGTGTGTCATTGTAACTTTACTTTGATCTTGTACTTGCAATAAATTCACATGTCATGTAAATGGCTGTATCAGTTAACAAATATACATTTCTATTAGGTCCGCATAGGCCTGGGTATACAGCTATTTCGAGAAAGGTTGTCGGAAAAAGTGCCCGCGACAATCCCGAAAGGTATTGTGGGTGGTTTTGAGTTCACTCCTCTACAAAGACATTTGAAAGAATGGCACGGGAGGCCACGGACATATGTTTGCAAGTGCTAAAGGAAAGCAAAGAAAGTAGGTTCGACAGCTACAGTCGTTAAGTACGGTGTAATGATTATATCCCATGTTACCTTTCGGGATTGTCGCGTGCACTTTTTTGGCGTCAACCTTTCTCCAAATAGCTGTATACATAAACATGGAATTGTTACTAAAAATATACTGATTAAGCTGTCGTCAGTTTCGACTTTCGATTTAAGTGACTGTGTATTCATTTGTGGTAATACCAGGGTAGGCTACATTCATGAGCTGTTCCAAGTGTCCCGTACTTATATTGCCTTAGGCAGTTCCCTCCTGATAAGCCAAATTTATCTGCCCGACTGTCATAGTACTTGTCCATGACTCCTTTGCGCCACTGCGGCTTATAACTGTTGATAAAATAACAACCAGTTTATAAAGTGTTTACATTAGTCAGTCACGAAGCAACACTCTACTTGAATATAGTGTACGAAAGGACGCAATTTGACTTCAGATTAGAAAGTTGATAGGTTCATGCCAATTTCCTCACTTTATCCTACTTACAAGATGACTTAGGGTAGATCAATTTGCCACCAACTTTCATATAAGTTGGAAGAATAGGAACAGTAGCAATGTATTGTACGACAGGAACATGCGAGCTGGTAACATGAGAGGCGTTCTCCTCGCGCGCTCTGTAAAAAAATAGCAACCGGCGCTTGCTACGCAGGCTATACGTCAGTTGATGGTATTAAACTCTGGTTCTTGACCTGATTGGATAATTGACCACTCCAGAAAATACCATGATAACGTACCATAATACCCTTCGTTGCTTACTTCAAAATTTCGCATAAGTATTGTTTTCAGTTTCTCCTGGGGCCATTTTAACTCCCAAGAGAAACTGAAGACATTGCTTATGCAAAATTTTGGAGTGACCAACAAAGAGTACTATGGTATGTTATGGTATTTTATGGAGTGGTCAATTAAATAAGTCGCGATGTTAATGGTCGTCTGTCACTTAAGACGTAATGTTATTGGCTATGGAGACTCTAAATGTCATTGGTGCGTTTCAATCCGTTTAGCAGTTGTTTTAATTGTTAGTCAAATTGTCGGTTCTTTTGTCCAGTCAATTTTGAATTGATAACTAGGGGATAAAACGAGATTGACATC